TCCTCCTGCTCCTGCTCGCTCACCGCACAGTAACTATATACTAATACTTTACCCACGCCCATCACTGAGAACTGTTCCCCCCTCCCCTCGCTCACCGCACAGTAACTATATACTAATACTTTACCCACGCCCACCACTGAGAACTGTTCCCCCCTCCCCTCGCTCTCCATGCAGTAACTATACTAATACTTTACCCACGCCCATCACCGAGAACTGTCCCCCCCTCCCCTCGCTCACCGCACAGTAACTATACTAATACTTTAGCCACGCCCATCACCGAGAACTGTCCCCCCCCCTCGGTGCTTACCACACAGTAACTACAGTTAAACCTCGATTATCCGAACGAGACGGGTGGGGAGTATTTTGTTCGAATAACTGATCTGATCGTATTACCGTTTTAAAATTTCCACAGGACCTAGATTTGACTGTATACTAATACTTTACCCACACCCATCAACGAGAACTGTCCCCCCCCTCGGTGCTCTCCCCCCTTCGGTGCTCACCGCGCAGTAGCTCGACGGAGATGGTGTCTGCAACCCTGTAGAGCCCCGCGTCGCAGACGGCGTCAAGGAAGCGGCCGATCGTCAGGCCGGAGGTCAGCAGGTCGTCGTACAGCAGCCTCGCCGGATTCTCGCGCCACTTGATGGCGCTAGCGGAGGGGGAAACAACATGGCGGTACGCACGTCAGTTACAGTTTAGCACATCAATACATCATTAGCTGCAATGTTATGCCGCGATTATAAGCAACAGAGTCCCACTTGATGGCGCTAGCGGAGGGTGAAACAACGCAGCGGTATGCACGTCAGTTACAGTTTAGTACATCAATACATCGTTAAGCTACGATTTTCTGCAATGTTATGTAGCGATTATATGCAACAGGCCCACTTTAGCTGAGAGGGTCTATGTCTCCCTGTGTACTGCCAGAACGTACCCTGGTAACTATCTACCTTGCCTACCGACGCTACCGTACCTCGCCTACTCCACTAACGAGTCTAGGGAGTCGCCTACGCCTACTACCTCACCCTAACCCTAACCATATCAGATAGTTACCAGGGTACGTTCTGGTATACCGGACCGTACCCAGGGTACGTTCCGGCAGTACCCAGGGAGACATAGACCCTATGAACCCCACTTGATGCCACTGTGTGGGGGGGGGGATATGGCAGTATGTATGTCAGTTACAGTTTAGAACATCTTTCTTCTTCTTAGACCCTTCAGTCTCCGGGAAGACACAGCTCATAGGTGAACTTCCTCCACGTCGTGCGGTTGGTTGCCTTCCGCTCCATTACCCTCCAGGTGTAGCCCTTCTTTATTCAGTTTAGTACTTGAGCACATCGTTAAACCAAGATTCGCTGCTATGTTATGCTGCGATTATACACAACAGTCCCACATGATGGCGCTGTGCTGGATACTTAACCGCCATGGGCCCCCCCCCCCAACTTTTCATTAGAACGCTCACGGTGCATCTCTTCGTGGCTGGATACTTAACCGCCCTGGGCCCCTCCCCCCAAACTTTTCATTAGAACGCTCACTCACGGTGCATCGCTCCGTGGCACGATACATAACCGCCCTGGGCCCCTCCCCCCAAACTTTTCATTAGAATGCTTACTCACGGTGCATCGCTCCGTGGCACGATACATGACCGCCCTGGGCCCCTCCCCCTAAACTTTTCATTTGAACACTTACTCAATGTCGGAGACGGAGTAGTGCAGAGAGGGCAGACTGGCCAGCTTCCTCCACGCACCGTTCTCACGATCACCGCCCTCCAGCATCTGACAAATCCTGCGAAAGAGGAGGGAGGGGGAGGGGTGAGATCGCTTACTGTTCCATAGCTGCTAAAGGTATAAATAGTTAGTTTATCGTTATAGTTTTTTTACCAAGGGCGTACAATATTAATATTCACATTGTATCGTCTAGCTGAGCATCTATACCTTCATCGCGTAAAGCCCGGCGCACATTGCCGAACATTTTGCTCAAAAACATTATCGTAGCAATGTTCCATGAAATGTTCGGCAATGTGCGGTGAAAAAAGTCGCCGAACATTTGTTCCGAACAATGTTTCCGAAGATCGGAAATGTTTGATATCTCGAACATCGTTCGTCGAATGTTCGTCAATGTGCGCTGAATGTCGAACAATTCTAGAAACATTTGTAAAGTAGTAACCAATAGCAGCACGATATGTGGTCACATGATTTTTGTGCCCAATCATGCGCCGATCACGTCACTTTTTACAACACAGCTACTAGACGGCGCCGCGAGATTGTTCGCTGCAAAATTTTCGGCAATGTGCGCTCAGCAATTGTCCACCCGCACATTGCCAGACAAAAACATTTGTTCTGGAAAATGTTCGGCAATATTCGCCAGGCTTAAGCATTGAATTCATTGTAACTCGTTTGAAGTGCATTACTAATTATACAATTGTGGGAAAGTTCCCATAAACTGATCAATCATAGCAGTGTACCGTAAATAGAAACGGACCAATTTTCACCACGCAATACCCACACTTTCTCTCTGTCTCTGTCTCTCTTTCTCTCCTCCATTTCTCCCTATCTCTCGTTCTCTCTCTCTCCTCCATTTCTCCCTATCTCTCGTTCTCTCTCTCTCTCTCTCTCTCTCTCTCTCTCTCTCTCTCTCTCTCTCCCTATCTCTC